AATCGTGCTCGCCTCTCGAGATCGAGAGCGGCGCGTCGAAGATCGCCCGCCGGCGCGGCGCGAGCTCGAAGGCCGCCGGGGCGCCCGGCGGACCGAAACGCCGAACGCGGCTGCCAAAGTCGGGCGCTGCCCATCGGATCGGCTTCCCAGTGCACTGGAGCCCCTGGGGAACTTTAGACCTGTGTGGTGGAGATGCGACCACTTCGTAGCGCATGGTGGAACTAAGCGAATGCGGCGTCGGCCGCTTGCACTGATGGGCGCCCCTTGGTCGCCGTGTCGAGGCGACCATAATCCGTACTCAAAGCTTCCTCTGAGGTGCCCCATACGCCTAGCGCCGGGGGCGCCGAGCTGCCCATCGCGTGGGTGGACCTCGGCGCGCTACCGCCTCGCTTTTGTAGAATTTTATTTTTTTATTAGTCCGCCCGCGCGCCACGAAATCGCACCCCCGGCGCGCGGCGTATGGGGCACCTCAGAGGAAGCTGTCAGCGCGGATTGCGAGGCGCGCGCCCGTGGCGCTTATGGCAGCCTAGGAGACCTGGCAAGGCCAATACTTGAAATTACGACGTGGAATTGCAACACCCTCAGGGCCAGGGGGATAATGTGCGGGGATAATGAACTCGCCCTCGGGAGGGAGACAAGTGTGACGACGGCGACCCCAGTCGCAGATGGCCAGGTAATTCGCGTGGTTAATACAGTTTTGATTCGCATGTCTTGATTTAGGAGTTTGAACGCACTTGTATGATTTCACGCCGTAGCGTCAAATTTATCTGCCCCTGATTTGAAGTTTTTAGCTTTCCGATTGCTTCTTGGAACGAGGCAAATGATTCCCCGTTGATTTTGATGAGAACATCATTCAACTTCACTCCAGCTTGTTTTGCCTATATGCTTTGGAGGGTGCAGCTTAAATGAGCAGCTAAAACGGAGGTTTAAGCAAGACTCGGACATCGACCGCACTTCCAGTCCTGAAACCTCTAATCACCACCTACAAGATTACTATGGTTGAAGGGTGGAAGTCCATAAGTCTCACTAAATGGTCCTCATCAGCAAGCTGAAGCCCCAGGCCATGGGCCCCAGTACCAATCGAGATGCTGACAACATCTGTCTGTCCACCTATATTATGTATTACAAAAAGGACCTATCATGTAAAATTCAGATATCAGACTTGAAGTACCGTGCGATCGAATCAGTTTACGATTCACTTGGATATTAGCCATGGCAGTATTGGCTTTTATTAGCCGGTCACGTTTTTCCTCGAGGCTAGAGCGGCTTGCAACCAACGCTGCATCTTCTGTAAAAAAAGCCTGTAGCTTGTTTTCATCATGCACGAACTGATAGCATTGCTCCTGCAATTTTCCGCAGAGAGTGCCTAAGATACGGTCATCCAGGCACATGCAGGCGTTGTCAATGAATCGCTTAGATGCCAACGTCCAATAGGCTTCCAAAATGGCTGACATGTCTTCTGCATTTGCTGAAGAACTCACGCCATGTGCGGCACGATACCAGGATCGAAGAGAGGCCCCAACATGCTCCTTTGTTGCTTGCCATGATCCTGATTGGTTGCTATGATTAGCCGTACCACTGAAGGCCGAATCGACCGAACTCTCAAATCGATCATATCTGAGCTTGTTGATATGGGCTTGCAGGAACTCATTGATAGTAAATGGATCCTTCTCGCGCATTACAAGCCCCTCCAATAAAGTCAATGCCTGACATTCCGACTGTTCCAAAATTGATGAGGCCACTTCCTTGAAGCATTCACGCAGAACGGGGTATGATACTGCAATCTTTTGGAAGAGTTCGCTGACGACTTCATTTGCAAGTGCCCGCATTTGAGCTGCGGCCATTCGGGCAGGTGCTTCCCATGCGTCTATGAATTCCTGAATAAACATGTAAAATGATTGGGCACTCATGAATCCAGGCAACTCACGACCACGCAATGCTTCCATCTGGCGAGCCAGATTGGTCACAAAATCACCAGCCTGAAACAAGGGTGCCGTGGAGATCACGCGTGACTGAAGCTCTTGGAAAATCACCAATGCGCGTGTGTAAAGCCTTAAATTTGGATTACAAACTATAAGTCTATCTCGATACTCTCCACGCACACAATCATTCAGATGTCGTACAAATTCTTGTGTAAGTGTCACAAGCAGTTTTTGTCGTTCGCTGGCTGTTGTAGCCGTCCCATATGATGATATAGCTCGTACATCCGCCCGAACTTTGCTCAACATCACTTCCACTTGCCGTTTCATAGGCGCTAGCTGCTCTTGGATCCGAACAACAAGCAAATTGGTAAGCGCTGATGTGAGATTTTTGATCCCCCAAAATCGCTTATCTAGACATGAGAAGGCTTTGTGGTTTTGGAAAAATAACTCTTCATTATCCAGTGCTGACTTATGAGATATTCCCTGTTTAACTTGAGCTTGAGAACGATTCTTCACCATTATGTAGCCGAGCCGCAACGGCTTTCGTAAATTGTTTAAGACTGCCATTACCTCCTCCTCATTCCCAGGGCCTATTAAGTCTGGCTTGGTCAGGACGCCGATTGTTCGCTCGCCGCCGGGGTCTACAGTTTGAGCCCGCTCCAGGATATCTATGGTGGCAATGTCCTGATTTGATGGTATAACAGCGAGGATAATTGTGCGTTCTTGTCTGAGATAAGTGTCAATGAGCTCGTTGACTTCATAAATAACTTTGGGGTCTTGGCCAGATGTAGCAGTACGCACTATGCCTGGTAGATCTACCACCGTAAGATCTGGTGATTCCGAAGAGCCAAGCCGCACAACAATTGATTCAGTTGAAAATCCATGTGAGTTCTTGGTCAGAGTATCTGTGAGTCTTGAGATGATTGCTGTTAGTTCAGCTGGGCTATTTGCTTTGACCGTGTGAGAAGACAGTGTGGTAGAGGCTGTTGCTGACCAATCCCCATCAGAGCGACGCATGATCAGACGGACTGGACATCGCGTAACTAATCCGGATCCTCTAGGAAAGGGAACCCCAGACAATGCTTCCAATACAGAACTTTTCCCACAACTTTGGTCGCCCATTACACAAATCTGTGAAATTTTCGAGTACAGACTAGAAGCAACCTCCATCGCACCTGCGGCACAGACAAGGTATTATCCAGCGACAGTCCTCTCAAGTCTTCAGCAAGATCAAGCCTATACACAACGTCAATAATGGTGCGATCACGGTCTGCGAAATTGTACCATGGTCTCACTTTTTGCTCATATTTGACATCTAAATGGCTCATGACGCAGGCGGAGCAAGGATTGCAGGGGACGCGTCGTGATGCCCGCCGCGCCCGCGGCGTCAAGGCCGAAGCCGGCGCCGGTCGTCTCAGCGCCGCCGAGAGGCGGTCCCAACCGACTGGGAAGACCTCCATCCGTCGCCGTGGTGGCGCGAGATCGGCGCGACCATCGCCGTGCGGTGGCACCGGCGCAAAAGGAGAACATCACTGACAGTCGCACAGCGGTAAGAGAGGCCATGGGACTGAAGTGTTAGAATCCGAGTATGCTAGTATGAAGCACCAGCATAGTATAGCATGAGCATAGCCAGTATAAGGCAGACTTAGCATAGCCAGCATAGGCCAGTATGAGCGCCCCAGCATAGGGAGGATAGCATAGTCCCGAGTTAGGACCCCACTACCCTAGTTTACTAACTACAAGCCGGCCTACGGCCGGCAAGCTCGTAGCTATCGGCCACTCGTTTGATTGAGGCTGCTCGCTGCGCTCGCTTTAAACCACTCATTAAAAGTTTTATGTTGCTGCTCGGACGACTGGATCCGCACTTTGCAAAATAGAATATAGAAACTCCCTCTCTCTAAAATAGGTTCGGCTGGCCACGGGGAGAAAGAATTTCGCCGGCGGGCTGCTTCAGCAGCGCCGGCCAGATAAGAGCATAAGGAGCGAGTATCGACTGAGCTGCAATAATAAATAACAGCTCATTCTCTCTCTCTCCTCTGGGCGCTACTTTCCTGGCTAATCGAAGATTACCTGTACGATTACCTGTACAAATCTTATTACGAGTTGCAATGTTTGGCAAGGACTGAAATAGTAACGCTTCCTTGATGCCGCGAGCTCCAACGAAGTTTGTGCCTAGGAATCACACGATTCGAACCACAAGTTGAGACCCTTCAGATCACTCAACAGTACTATCCGCATAACATGACGAAAACGGTGGAGGTGTCTCGAGGTATGGCCCGGAAGCTCGAGCGGCACATGCCGTTGAGGTTCAGACTTTTGGGTAAGTGTTTCGTGGTGACAGGCGCAATTCTACTTGCAATCCTCACCCTTCTCTGGAGTCAGTATCTGTTTCCGACCATGCTGGACGCTCATGTGGCCTTTGATGCATATACCCTGCATCCATATTACACACACTTTGCGGTAACAACTAACGCATCATAGGCCGTACTTAACGAGTATGATGAATTCATGAATGACTGGACATTTGAGGATTTCGAGCTTGTGCCAGCGTCCTTGTGGTTCAAGCGGACTGCATCTTCATTTGGGCAGGCACCGCGAACAGGATCCGGCTACGGATTTATTCGTAATCTACCTTTGGCATGTGACAAACACGGAAAATTTCATTGAGGGCGGCTACAAGCCACGGCTTCAGGAGATGGGTCCATACGCGTATGTACGACAGGCCTACAAGTATGATATCGTGAGTAAACGTGCACCGGGAATGTTGTTGTAGTTGGGAACTTCTCTATTTTTTGCCTTCCACATAGGAATGGCCAGACGATAGCCATCACGTTACATACAAAGAGTGGTGGTTTCTATCACCGGTTGAATCACCGGAAGCGTGCCGTCTCATGTTTTTCCAACAGGGCTTGGGCGAGTACAACGAGCACACCCGGGATCATCCAGCGGCGTGCGCTCCAGACCACGAAGAGGTCCCTTGACAAAAGATGCGGCGTCTTACGTCTTCGAAGTGAGCTTGGATAAGCGGATCAGGTGACCATATTGAACCCAAAGTACATGTCGCTACAGAACCGCTGGACCACTGAAGGTATTTTCGGTGAGCTGTCTCAGTCTGTTTTTGCTAATATTCGCGAATCCATGGTAGCGGAAGATGCATTTCCTCGGACGGCACCTATCCGGTGCCGCAAACATGATTTCATGTCAAATTTTGACCGTGCTCAGGTCAAAGCAGAACTGCTCCCAGAAGCCTTCTCTGATGTGTGGGCTTATCGACTCGCGGTGCACGCGTCATCGGCCTTGAACGTTGTAGTATCGGCGCTCACAGACTCTGATGCTGCGTTCCATTTCGCAGCTTCGGATAGTAGCGCAACTGCGCTAATGCTAGATAAGCTCTCTGTATCTTGGCTAATGGGCAACGCAGCATATGGAACGGCTGATGCAATCGAACTGGCATCCACCACAATTGCAGGAGCAGATGCATCTAGAGCAATGCTATCAGCTGCAGAAGCAGCATACCTGCTCGCTCCTGCCAATCCGATTTCCGTATTAAATTATGACCGTGGTGTACCTCTCTGGATTGGTGCAGCGAGGCATCTGGGTCTTATAGTGTCATCCGTCGTAGAAGAGGATGCAGCGGCGGCTAACCAGATTGCGCATGCATACCTGCTTAGTGAATTATCAACAGCATTTGGCAAGGGCCACGTCGAAACCGAAGCTCTGGTGCTAGGAATAGCAACGTATCTTTACGGGGAGGTAGGCTGGATGGCATCTCCTAGCGCGGACAATTACCGCGCTAGGGAGTGGGGCGGTCAGGCTTCATTTGTACGGGGAGGCGGTTGTGACTGTGGAACGTACAGCACCGGACTTTATGCGGATGTTGCGGTCGAGACGGTGCCTGGATTCTACTTCTATACCTGCGCCTGGGGTCTGGCTTCTTCGCTGGGATTTTACGCACCTTGGGAAGCTATGGGCACGGCCCCACCGCTAAATGACACACTCACACGATGGATCATTGACCCCAATTATGAAGACACCCGCAGTGAGCTTGGTATCTATATTGACGAAAATCTTGTCCGGTGGTGGCAGGCATATGAGTACTGTAATGTTTCGAAGGGTGGACGCAGTCCAACGTGCGTTGCGATAATCCTAGCGTCATCATCTCATGTGGTAGGTGTGATGCAATGAGTGAAGCGAACCAGATGACTGAAGTTGAGCTTCCAGCTGCGATGCTCAGTCTCAGCCAACACACTATGACATCTTTTTCTGCAAGTGCAAACACCCTTGCTGCTGTAGATTCGCATCAAAAAATTACAGGCGCCTCCACCCCACACCCCACCACCCCCCACGCCCAGCCCAGCCTCGCGGTTTTTATGCTGGAAGAAGACTCCGACCTCTGCTTAGGCTCGGCTGAATTCGCGACAATGCGCCAGTACCGGGGACAGGTGTGCGCCGTAGCGGGGCATCTCTATGACAAGTGGTCTCTGCAAGACCATTGGCATGAAGTCTATGTAGCGGCTAGCGTGGCTCGGGCGACTGGATTGGAGTTTGTCGCGGGTCGCTTGCATGATCTTGGCTACGCGCAATGGGGCGGAGGCTACGTTACATTGGCGCTTTGGGGAGTCCCATCAGTACTGAATATTGAACGGAAGGGCTACTGGAAATTTGGGATGGCATCGTACACCACAGACTTCATGGAATTCCACTCTCAGGCTATGGCAATCGGCTACTCTAACATGAATTTGACAACAGCGGATGCGCAAATTCTCCTGGATGCGCTTGCCGGAAAAGGCACCGAGGCGCGTATTTTCCGTGGCAGCATTGGCAAGGTTGCAACATCATATCGCTGCGATGGATCGGATGGGGGCAATATCCGGTTAGGACAATCGGCGTCTTCAAAACATGCAGCTCGCCTGCATGACCATACATTCCCCCCCCCCATGATAAGTGTTTGATATTCCTGTTGATAGTACTCTTGAATAGGTTTCAAGAGCGACCTTCGGGCGTTGACGACATCCCTGCAGAACTCGACGAGACCTGTGAACCATACTCGATATACTGCGATTGTCAACCAGGTGGGAGCTATTTCGTCACGCAAAATACGTTTGGGAACTTTTCAAGCATAGTACCACGAAAAGTTCTGGACCCAGGGTCACAGGTATTGGAAGCGAACTTTAAGGCAGCAACTGCACTACTCAGCGAGGTTTTTATGTCTTCAGATCTCACTTGCCAGCGTATTCAGGATCACTATAAGGAGTGTTCTTGGCTGGAAACCGAACCAGGCTACAGCTACTGGTTAGTCAACTGCAAAAGATGGGAAACATTGATATCTGACCCTACATTTGGCATTTATTGTGACCTAGTGACAATTCTCAAGATTGACTCTGCCTATGACCACGACTACCAATCGGCTACGATTCACCCGTATCCACGACAACGCGGTAATGTCATCGCCTTCTGGCTCCAAGAATGGTCCACATATCGCGTGCTCATCGAAAGGCGCACGGTATGTAACGACCCAAGTGACTGTGATTATGCAAGCGGGGGCATGTTTGTCACTCAATCCGCACGCCGTCTGCTATTTGAAGGTTACGTTGATCGCGTTGCCATGAGACTCCTCAATTCGGAGCTTGAGCCCTACAACCTCACCGCTCGTTGTGTGAATCGGTCGACACTCGAACTTGACGAGTACTGTAGGCCCGTGGAGAATATTGAATGCTCGGAGGATGGATTTGAGGTCTCTGATGTGAGTGGCAATCTTGCACGATTTCAGCGAGATGGCCAACGCCGGGAGGAATGGTACGCTCCTAAAATTATCCTCAACCTTTCTGATATATCATCAACTGTGGGTCCTCTTGATGTTGCAAATGTTTCCGCTAGCAATACGCTCGCCATCGACAACCCAGCTTTTGCTATCTATCCAGGCAAACTCTGGGTGCCTAACGCATCCTCCTACCGCCTGCGCAGGGGCGAAGGTGACACTCGATCACTCAAATTTCACAAGAAGGCCGATTGCGATTTCCGTTTCCTCGGTGGCGCGAAGAAGTGGGGAAGTTGCACAACTCGACTACAGACAGGCAAAGGCAATCTCAATGATGTGCAGCGCGTTGCAGAATGGCGCGGTAATGGGACTCTTATCACGGGTGACGATTTTGTGCAGACTATCCCGCGCCTGTTTATTCTAGCAGGGCTGATGCGATCGCTCTACTTAGGTGGATACAATCAACACATCCGCTGGGACGCTGATCCACCAAACACGCCCTTTTGGGTGGGAGGGCTTCCGAGCCTACAACTTCACATATCTGCTACGGGGCAAGGGCTTCGACTTTCAAGGTGCTGACGTGATGTATGTGTTGAACGCGGACCATCTTATGCTCATTGAACTCATGCGTCTCCGCACTGGGGACCTCAAGATTGGAATGGCAGACCTCTCCGAAGAGTCAGTTTTTTGCCTCCATTGCACTGAGATCTATTTCACCATGCAGTTCGACAGGTACTATGTCGAGTGGCCGACCCGCAAGAAGGCCGAGGCCCACAATTATACACGTCGCTTCTGGGCTCGAGCTAATCGCTATGAGACCACGTCTACGACATTCGACGAGGGTCGTCGGTTTGCTCGTGATAAACTCAAAGACCTGCATGATGAGAGATATACGATTCCCTACGGTATGATATCTCTCCAGGCCATCACTGATACACCCTGCTTTATAAGCCTGCCTCACTTCTACGGCAACGAAGAGTGGGGTGGTCTCGAGGCTAGGCAGGTGTATTTCGACACCAATTATGATCGCAGGCTTCATAGCTACTATGTGGACATCGAACCCATCACTGGCCAGACTGTTCGTGAGGCACGTCGCTTCCAATTCAACTTTCGCGTCGAACGCAATATGCAGTTTCCCCAGATCATCTCAAGCCAAGAACGCTGTGAAGTGCCCACTGCAGACTTCAGCGAAAACGGATATGGCTGTTTTATGTTCTTTCCTGTATGGTGGGTTTCAGAGGAGCGCCATATAGACGGCGTCAAAGCTTTGCGCCTCAAGCGAGAAGTCCTTGAGGTCACCGAGCGCCTTTTTTATACTGCGCTTTATGGTGCAGCCGTTGGGTTCATGCTCATCTTTCTTGGGATAGGACCCTGGTGCTGGACGAATCGGAGGGAGGTCGCTTTTCGTCAGCGAATATACATCGACTGAAGGCTGCAAGAGGCAAATGCACCACATATTACAAAATCGGGACGGCTTGTACACATGTTTGGCCCGCTTGGAAGTACCTCCGCTAGCGAATTTGGCACCGAATAACTAAAAATGAACTGGGCGGCTTTGCAGCGTTGTACGCAAGACAGTATTCCAGGAGTGGTGCCTTGGCCATGGCGGCGCTCCACCGGCAGGAAAACCACATGTTTGTACGGCTCCGGCTCAGCGGAGGGTTCCATACCAGCATCATTTCTATAGAAAACTTCCTTAGTGGCGCGTTCTAGGACGAACCCAAGACGTTTGGATGGAATCCGTTGTCCAATCCGACCATTTAATGATCGCGTTTGACGAGATGGCCGCAGGTCTCATCCCGAGGCCCATAGAACTCTTGGATTGTCCCCGGGGCTGCGCCGACGGGGCTGGAAGCCGGTGTGTTGCTCGAGTATGGCCGCACGCGAGCATCATTCGCCTTGTCGCGGTCGTCATCGCGGGGGGGAGGGGGGGGGGGGGGGGGGGGGGG